CCTAGCAATCCCCTTAAATACTTCCTGAGAAATCTGACCCTCCTTCCAAAGATGATATATCCTCTTTTTATTCTTAAGCTCCTTCACAGCCTCATTGCCCACCCAGGCTGGACATTTACCTCACTGAGCTGTCTTTTGGCACAGAGGGACAGTTTGTTCCTGTGCCCTCAAGATCTCTGTTTTGAAGCATGCCGACCTTTCCTGAACTCCTTTGTTTTTAAGAGCTGCTTCCCAAGGAGCCCTCTGAATAAGTCTCCTAAATAGGCCAAAGCCTGCCCTCTGAAAGTCTAACGTAAAAGTCTTATTGGTGTTCCTCCTGATTTCACCAAATATTAAGAGCTCTATAGTTTCATGATCACTATGTCCCAAGCTGCCTCCAGCCATCACATCTTCCACCAACCCATCTCTATTTGCAAACAACAGGTCTAACGTAGTCCCTCCCCTAGTAGGCTCACTCACCACCTGTGACAAAAAGTTGTCATCCACACCCTCTAAGAACTACCTGGACTGCCTCTCTTCTGCTGTATTCAGTTCCCAGCAGATGTCTGGTAGGTTAAAATCCCTACCTATAGTCCTCAATCCCACATGCACAAAAGGAGCCAAAGGGAGCACTTACCACCTCCATCTTCCTAATGATATTTGTAAACTTGTACTGAAAGCCTGTCCCCAAGTGTCTTACCTTTGGAGGCCACAGTGGTGAAGGGCTTTGCATCATTTACCCAGCCCTTGAGCCCCTGCCTTTTACTGTGAAGTTTTTTGGTGCTTGTCATTAAAGATGTTGTGTGGCACTGTGTGGGCACTGCAGCACTGTCTGTGCTGGGTAGGCTGTGCCTGAGCTGCTTTTGCTGCAATCCATCACATGTCACCCAGCATTCAGGCCGCTGCTGCCTTGTCCTGGACCGCGGTACTTCCCTCCTGTCCTGGGAAGCTGGATGGCTTTGCTGGTGCCCTGCCTGAACCAGCTTGTGGCAGGTCCTTGCTGAGAGGTTGTCAGCCTTGCAGTGTGAGCTGCTGGGTAAAGGCTACCTCTGCCTTGGAGACAGAGTTGTACTGAGGGACCTTCAACTGCCCGGCTATGGCCTCAGAGCCTTAGGAGAACTGGGGTGTAGTATTGCTTTCTTTTCTGCTCTGCCTACGACTTGGTATTATTTCTCTACGAAAAAGCACTTATTTCCAAATGTCTCAAAAATACAAACAAATTCTCTAAAGCAAGTATTACTTTTCACGCCTCAGTAAGTACTGAGCTATGAACTTTATATTGTTTGGACTTCCTTGAATGCGTTTTTTGCAGCTACTTAGTTTCTGTAGAAGTGGTGGAGATCATCTTTAGTAGACTGATGAAGCATTCCCAGAAAGCTCTTTCTACCACAGCCTTCAGAACTTTGGAGTTTCTGTATCCTGCATTGTGGGAGTCAGCCAACCTGAGCCAACCATGGACTTAAGGCCGTGGGAAAAACCTTGTTAGTTAGGGCAAGTAAGAGTTAAGTGCTGTTGCATCATGGAAGTTCTTATGTTAACAGAGTTATTTCATATAAGGTTGTGTTTCTAGTTATGGTTAGTGATTGATTGTTACATTTTACATTTATGGTTATGTTCCTAATTCTCTTTTATGACTGGACCCCTACCCTCAGATCATCCCTTATATATTGTTAATGTTTGCCCTGCCTCTGCATCTTCTGAGGTTGTCCCTATATTGTGCACAGCTTATGCTCCTTTGTTATTTTATGCATTATTAAAGTCCTTTATTTTTGGGCAACCCAGTCATACCCATCCCTATTTTTATTTTGCCACACAACCCCCGGCGGACTGGTCTCTGTGTCGTGGAGCTGAACGTGACTCTCCATAAGTTTAAGTGGAAGATACATGTCAAGGCACTCAGCTCTGCCATGGTATTCCCAAAATACAAATCTGGATATCTGTGGAACTTCAAAAGCCAGGCATTTGAGAAATTAATTTTTTTTAGGTGACACCTAAGCAGTTCAGTTTTTAGTACCCAGTTTTTAGCCAGAGGTTTTAGTATGCCAAACTCTGAACTAACTCGCCTTAGGTGAGTAATATAGCTCGTTAGGGGTTTTTTTTAGACACCACTTAAATTATTCAGGCTCTAGTTTTTGCGGTAGATGAATTCCAGTATGACTTGTATTTGCCCCGAGAGTTCTTCCCCTTGCAGAGGGCTTCCCTTGTGCCCTTTTCTAGGATCTCTATTAAATAACAGGGTTCTGCTCAGCTGGGTCTCCCTGCTGGCTGCTGTATTTGGGCTCAGAAAAATCCCACCCTCTCTGGCTGCACTGTTGTATTGTTTGTAGTGATGAATGGATTCAATTGTTCAGTTTAACAGATAATAGCTATCAATCTGTTATCTCTAAACAGCTTCACACATTGTAGGAATGACATATGGTGGGAGATACATGGTGAAGGGATTACCATGGGCATGATGTCCTGCTGATGGGGTGATAGGTTATCATATCTATAGGTTGTAGGTGATTCTTATCACTGCAGTCCAGCTAGAAGAGGGAGTACCAATCAGGTGTCACAGTCCTGTTCTTGCCCAAAACATCTCTCTTTTTGTAACTCTCAACATTCCTCATTTATTCCTCATTATAAAGTGTCTGTCCCTCCCCTTTGTGATAGCAGCTAACAGAATATTTGACTACATTCTCACCTCCATTTCTCCAAAAAATGTGATTTGGTATTTGAAATCCTCTGTGGCAGAGGTTGAGAATATGACTGCCTCACAGACAAGCCAAAGGGCTTACCCTCTCCCCAAAGTTGGAATGCCTCTTTGGTTAGATTTGCACCTCTAGAACATACCTGGAAATATTTATACATAGTAATATATATTTATATTCTGCATATCTAGTGAATCAATTACTGCTGATCTGTAAGAATCTACAATCTGTTGTTCCAATGAGCTGCACCGTTTGTGAGTCTACATTCATGCAAGTTCTCTGAAGCCAACCAGACAGTGTCTCATTGGTGAGCTGCACTATTTGTGAACCTCTGATTGTGAATGAGACCCACTGTACTGGTGCCTCTGGGATCATACTGAATGCAACTGAACTTAGAGTGCTGAATTGATAATAATAAAATAATTAAACCTAGCTGCACTCAGCACCTCTGAGGATCAGCTGGAAAGCAGGAGGGTTTATCTTCTGATAAATTTCTATACTAGTAACAAAATACAAATCTCTCTAATAGTTCTGCATATAACACTTGCACACTGATTTCAGAAAATACTTGACCTACCCCTATATCTGCACTGTTGTTCATGGTACACCCTTGTGTTTACTATTAATAGTGTCAAAATGACTAGCCTGGATAGATTTTGACCTTGTTCTTGTTTAGCCAGCTCTGAAAGGACACTACAGCTACTTAGGCAAGGTGAAATGAGAGTCTGTCAGAAATGGTGACAGCTAGAACTCCTTAACCTCATTCTTCCCATTGTCTTACACAGAAACTTGTCCCTCAACACTCTCTTTTTGCTGTTTGCTTTGGTCCTCCCCCTTCCTCATATATTATCTCTGTTCAATTTAGTAATTAAAGCTATATTTACATGATATTTTATGTTGTCTAAGAAGTCATTTGCAAGCACCTACTCCAATTATGTTCAAACTGGGGAGCTCTCAAGTGAATCTAATTTGTCTTGTGATACCTTTGTCCCGAGGACATTGAAATCAAATAGGCTTTTTACCAGCTATAGAAAATTCATTATACCAGTTTCTCTGTGTAAGAAAGCAACCTGGAAAACATGAAAAAGAAATGGGAAGGAAACGGTATTTTCCTGAAGATGTCTTTTTCAGGGTTTTCAAACAAAATGCTCCCTTGCAGGAGCGGGAAATGGTCCTACACAACTCATTCTGTGAAAATGAAAGGAAAAAAGAAATGCCCCCCGCCCTTTAGTAGTCTGGAGAGAATATTCACTGAGGGGCTTGCCCTTTCCTTGCCAAAATCATTGCAAGTAGAAGGGTTCCAACTCTTCTCAGGTGGTGGAAGGCAGCTACTACAGCTGTAATTTCTTCCTGGTGTAAATGGTGTAAAATTTGGTTTTGTAGAGAAGTTCAAAGCTGGAATGAGATGCTGCACCATACCTGGCTTGTAACACAGACAGCCTAGCCCTCACTGAATAGTACATAATTAATAATAACATGTTCTCACTTTTAGTCATCTGCAACAAAGAACTGCAGGCCCCAGGGCCTGTTTTATAGTGAGAAATTACCAGTTTCACAGAGCGAGTCGGGGTGTCAGCACAAATTTCACTGGAGACTATACTTTCTGGCATGGCCCTGGCGGTGGGGGGCCCCCACCACCAAGAAGACCAGATGGAGGGGAGAAATGAGATGTCATCAGGACCCCTGGAAGGGTGATTCATTTCTACCTACCCCCTGTCATTCTCTCCCTGTCCCCCAACTCCCTATGCACCTTCCTTCCTACCTACCTTCACCATTAAATGAAACATATCAATTTTTTGGCACCAACATTTAACTTTTTGGTTTTAATCACATTTTTTTGGGTGTATTTCAAACCTTTCTAGGTTTGCAGAGACTTGGTTTCCTCTGCTCTTCTGTTTAAATGGGATTGTAATTTTTCTCTCTGGTTTAAAATAAAAACCAGCAGTAGAAAGTCGCAGTGCTCCTAAGGATGCCATTTCATCCCTTGTGGCAGCAGCAGCAGGCAGCAATCCTAACAGCAGGCCAACACCAGAGCCCTCCCAGGAGGACAAGAGCACACCAAAAAGGTATTGGTGACACGTGCAGGCTGCAATGATCAAAGGTGAGGGGTCATAAGTCAAAGGTCAAAGGTCCAGGGGGGTAATTGCTACAGACGTATCTTTACAAACAACACTGAGATGAACTCAGGAATTCACTTCTGCCAAAAATTGGGATTATAGCTAAGGGCATCTCATTCCCAAGAACAGTGACTCTCAGAGAGGTTGGTTTTGTTTTTGTTTTTTCATTTATCTTTAAATTTTAGTAATTGTGCCTAAAGAAGGGGGAAAAAAAAAGGCAAGTAGGTAAGTAGACTCCTCACCTTCTTTCATCTCTTCTTTACTGTTTGCTGCAGTGAAGGGCCTTTTGTGCTGGACTTATTTTGGAAATTTCCAGGTCTCCTTAATGCAGAGGTTTGCACTTGGAAGCATCTGATCTTGCAGTATGACTGTAACTGCCCAATTAAATTTGATATACTGTGAAAATGAGTCACGCTTTGACCGGGGCTATAAAGACGAATCTCTTCAACTGTAAAGGAGCTGTGACTGACCAAATGATATTGTCCCAATGGTGGCAGCATAACATAAGAAATAAAATATGAAACTATGTAGGGTTTTCTCTTCATTAAGGCTTTTTAGGCTGAGTCATCATCACCGAAGAGGTATCCTTGCTCTCTGGGGGTGGGGTTGCCATTAGAACCAAAGCACAGCACTTATCTTGCTGTAAAATTGGAAAGAAAAATATTTATTTTATGCTGTCAGGAGACCAGGCAAGGTCAGCATTTCACATGAGATGGACCTTGCCTGGCTGCCATCTGGTTAAGATCCTCTGCTAGGACTTCAGAGCAGGAAAGATAGCGTGCATTAGGGATCTTGTGTTAAGAAGGGATTTTTTTTTTCTTCGATGTGAATGCAAAATGAAATTTAGCATGTGAAATTCACTAGGTGAAGTTACAGCAGATGAATAGAGGCATAATTATGCAGCTCTAAAATGATTGACTTTAACAAGTGAGCTCTTTTCTAGCTTAAAAAAACCCTCCCATCCTGTCAAATTTTGTGGGGGGTTGTATGTCCTGATCAATTTCAATTTTACATCATTGCATCTTTTCTAATTTTCTCACCTGGGCCTGCATGGTCTTGCATTTATCCCAGACCCACACATATAAAAAGCAGAAAAAATGTAAACAAGTTTGTCAAATACAACCGTGGTGAGACCTTGCAGCACCTGTGAGCAGTCTGAAAGAAGAGAAATATTCAGCACAGGGAGAGTTAAACATTGGTGGTTTGAAAGGCTTTCATCAGGACCATCTTTTCTGTGACTCTTCAAGGGGATGTGTATCCATCCCTCTTATCTTAGTGAAGCAGCTGGGCTGCTGCTGCCATAAATCAGGAGCAAAACTAAGGGATAGTGATGGGCAAGAGTTATGGCAGGGTGGTGGTGGGTGCTTGCTGAGAGGGAGGGAGCAGCTTAAGACGAGGTGCTCAGACTTGCTGCCAGAGGGAGAGATGGGGGACGCGAAGCCTGCAGCGCGGTGGCGACAGCAGGGAAGGGGTAGAGCTGACACCTGTGGAGCAAATCCTTCTCCGGGGAGTGGGAACCCCCACCCCACCAGCTTGGCATGGAGCAGCTGGGAGGTGAGTGTGGGAATGGGCTCAGGGTGGGAGTGCTGGCAGCAGGTGTTATGTCAGTCACACCCTGCCTCTGAAAGCCACAGGTGCCAGAGCGGGTCAAAGCCACAGGAGCTGCTTGCACACAATAGCCTCTAAAAATTGCGAGGCTTGCAATGCCCTTCAGCGTGGGGAGCAAAGGCTTTTGCTAACATATAGTAATGTGGCATCTTCAAATGCAGTGATTATGAGTGGTATTTTTAGGCATTCCTCTTGGTCATCATTTTGATCCTGTTCACCTGGCTTTGGCATGTGGGTGATGGTGCAGCCAAGAAGCTGAGGGTGCTGTATAAGAACCAGATTGCATAAATACATGTGCACAGCCTGATTTGTCTCCCTCACTGCCTGGTTCCTCAGCAGAGCCCCAACAACAGCACCGGGCTTCCCCACGCTTTAGAGCAGCCCCAAGGATGCAGGGCTTGAAACGTGCAAAGTGCTTTCTGATGGGTTGCCACAGAAAAGGGTGTGATGAGCGACTGAGAGCTGCCACCCAGGACTACAAAGGTTGTTTCAGGGCAGTGATCTGCTTCACATCTCTGCATGGGGCAATGCAACAGGCTCCCCATGTTCCTTCCTGCATTTGAGGTAGACTAATACTTGTTGCCCAGCTGGGGTCCCTGAGGAGCTCTTGGTCTCAGGGTCTGTCGGTGCCTTTAGTTCCTGGTGCTGGCTGTGAGGGAAAGGACCTGCAGAAGGAAGAAGCCCAAGGGACTTCCATCTCCTTCCTTCATCCCTTCTCCAGACAGACCTTGCTTCAAAGTGACCCTCTGTGCACCAGCATTAGAAATAGAATAGAAATATTCTATTTCTAGAAGAGGAGGGAAGCTGCACTTCCCTCCTCTCTTGGTCTTGGAGACAGTTTAAATAGCACAATATTTACCTGAGCTCAGATGTAACCACTGTGACATGACAAAGGAGTATTTTTTCTAATGTCTCTGCTGGTATAGGACTAGCTGCATGCTTGTAGATGCCTTTTTAGGTAGTGGTGGGCAGCCAAGCAACAGCTGTTTGTGGTACCATCTTCTGGAGCTGGGATCAGTGCACTCCACCTGCCTTTTTTCATGCATAGGTCTCCTTTTTTCTTCCTGTTTAGGAAGAGAAAATAGAAAAAAAACCCAAAACCACACAAACACAAGTTCCCCTAAACAGACAAACAAGCAAATCAGATTAGGGATGCTCAGTTATCAATTTCTAAAGGAACTTCCTGTGAAATGTGAACTTGCTATACAGGTCAGTGCTACACAACTGCAAAAAGCTGAAAGCCTCCCCTCAAAAAACAGCTTGGGACAAAAGGGGAACATCCAGAGAGGAGCCAGGCACAGCATCTCTGCAGTAGTGAGGGTGGAGCCAGCAGGGCATGGCTGATCATTACTGACATCGTTGTGGAAAGGTGGTGTCCCACAGAGAGCATATATGCCAGGATGTACCCCCATGGCACTGGTGCATGGTCACAGAGGTTTCCCTTGTGACCTTGCTTCTGACCATATCCTTTCCTCTTTCACCTACTTGGTCATTCGTTTGCTGTTACATGTATTGGATGTACCAGACTTGCAATAGAAACAGCTCCTCCAAAATGCTACATTTCCTACTCCTTTCCTGAGGCTTCAGGCAGCTTATCATGGAGGACAAAGGAGAACACCACAGCTGTGAGGATCTTGCAGGTCACAGATCTGCACCTATAGAAGCACTGCCATTGCCTCTTGCGGTATGGTGTGCTCTGTCTCCTGCAGTCACATGAAACATTCCCTGACGTGTTCCAGCCACTGCAACAGTGACAAAATAGCACAGTAACAGCCCACAGCCACTGTGTGAAACCAGACTCTTACTCATCAGCTTTTGCACTGCTTCAGAAGCACTGTCCTACCCTTCACCATAGATCTGTACTCAGCTTTGCCTGAGCTGGACCTTTAACATCAGCCACATCTCCAGTAAGAAGCATTTTTTTACCAGGAATATAATTTCCTCCTCTTAAATAAGACCAAAAGCATTCAACAATAATCAGTTTGATCTATGACTTGCATTTCTTCTTGGGCTTGCCATTGATTTGCAAGGATTGACATACCCATCAGCACTTTCAAAACAGCACCACACAAGCTGAATGGGGGAATGTGTGTGTGTGTGTGTGTGTGTGTCCAAGTTTCCTACATCCCTAAACTTATCAGTCAGAAAATCAAATGTTGAGGCATTTGCATGTCATTATTGCTCACCTATTTTATCTATTTAGCCTAATAAAATAACTAGGCTCATTTAATCCTCAGCATTCACTAATCCCAATTAGAGATGGGCCCAAACCAGGACCTGGGTCTCAATTAGGAGCTAACAAGCTCTTGGCAATCTGTGCCTCCAGCAATTCCTGCAGCTGATCGTGATGTGTGGGAATGCAGGAGCCCCCATGAAACAGCAAGGAATTGCAGACCTACATCACCTCTGTGCTCAAGCTCTAAAGAAAAGTGAGCAGTAGATCAGGATCTAAATGCATCATTTTCTTTGCAGTGGTCAGCAGATCTCTTGAGCACTACACCCCCTCCCCCTGCCCCCCTAAAGCGTGAAGGAGAGTTAGTTTTTGTACCTGTCTGTATCAGTTGAATCAAACCATCCTGAGTGGCCAGAATAGCCCCTGACTATTAAAGCTCTTATATCTTGTTATCCTTTGCAGCTGCTTCTTGTCCCCTTGGCTCATTCTGAGCATGACATGGTGATGAATGCATATATGTGCTGTAGCACTATGCACAAGTAGCTGAAGCAAGAAATTATGTCCAGATGAAAAAGTGAGCTTGTTCTGCAACAGTTGTGGGCAGCTGGACAGACCTTGGGGCTTGCTTCTGTCTTGGCTATTAAAAAGTCTGCTCTGCTTCCATGTGCAGAAGGGAGGGAGGGTGGCATGCAGAGCACCCGCAGACACTTCAGCATGTCCCCATGAACATCAGCTCCAAGAGTCCATCACTATTTCACCAAAGCTACAGAGCTGAAGGATGAGGTATTAATGGTCTCCTGCAGATCCCACACCATCTACATGGTTTCTTTCAGCACAGTGTGGCAGGGAGAGACTGATCAGCACTCATCTCCTTGATGTTTCCAAAAAGCCATGTGGTCCACTTAGGACTGTACCTGGTCAATCTTCCCCTGTAGCAGGGAAGGGTTTTACCTTCTGCAGGGCTGACACCACTAGTGAGACATGTTGCATTCCCCTTCAGGGAGGCAAAGGGCTTCTGGAAACCTGTGCAGGCAAGAGGCTCCACGTGGGCCTCCTACAGCCTTTTCCTAAGTATGTTCTTCTTCCCCTAGCCAGGAACATCTGACTCTGCCAAGATGTGGATGCATAAGTTGCCAGCTCCTCTCACTGGAAGCTAATAGCTAGCTCACTGAACAAAGAAAATCCAATTTGGCATCCAAAAAAGCAAACAGTCTTATTCTGGTCTCTCATTTTTTTTCTCTGCTGGTGCAGTTCATCAGACTTTTCACTGATTTATACCTTGGATGCAAGAAGAGTTTCAGACTCAAGGTTATTCTCCTGTCAGGTGTAGGCGTGTCCTCACTGTAACACAGAATGAAAGGGTTTACGAGCTGTGGATGTTCAAAGGGAGAGAGACATGGAGCTCCTGGAGCAGGTCCAGTGCAAGGCAATGAGGTCAGGTTGAGGTAGCTGGACCCATTCAGTCTCAAGGAGAGACAGTATTATAAGTATCTGAAGGAAGGATGTCAAGAAGAAGGAGCCAGGCACATCTCACTGGTGCCAAGCAATTGGCCAAAAGGCAGTGGGCAGAAACTGACACACAGAAAGTTCCACCTGAATATGAGGAAGAACTTTACTGTGCAGGTGACCAAACACTGGAACAGATTACTGTGGAGCCTCCGTCACTGGGAATATCCAAGAACTGTCTGGATGCAATCCTGTGCAATGTGCTCTAGGATGACCCTGCATGAGCATGGAGGCTGGACAAGATGACACTCTGTGGTCCCTTCCAGTTTGGCCCATTTTGTGATTCTGTGAGTGTTCACTTGTGTACGACAATTATGTGGGCAGTGGTGGGCCACAAGTCCCCAGGTGCCTGGAGAATGACACTCCTTCTGGCAATTGTCTTTGATTAATTGTTTCTAAAAGCCTGATGGCACCTTAGGGTTTTATTTTTTTCCCCTTTTCTTCAAGAGGACCACTAGAAAATCAAATGATTGTAATTTCCTTTGCCTATAGCAGAGCTTAGAGGGGAAAATAACTCAGGAGCTCATATACTGCTCTCTGAATTCAGCAGGGCCTTTTCTGCCAGCTTCAGTGGAAGTTCTGGAGCCAGCTCTCTATCAAAGGTGACTTTGATTTTCTGTGGTTGTGTGGGCCTTTCCTCCCATTTCTCTGTGGGGAATAGTTTTGGGAGACTTCAGAGTTCAGATGAAATATTTGCTGTAGCACTCAGCTTATTTTCTCCCTTGCATCGTGACTGTTCCTCTCTTTTACAGCTGGCAGCTGTAATCACTGCTGGCCTCCTCCTGCTCTACATCCCCCTGTGCTACGAGGATTTCCATTTCCATGTGGCTCGTGTGTATGCTTGCCTGGGGTACCCCAATGCCCAGCACATCCTGGGACAGAGGTATTTACAAGGTAATGTTTCTCCAGTATGTGGCTAACTTCTTGCCAGAGTATGCATGCTTATAGCCAGAACCACAAACGTGGCTTTGTGGTTCCAACACACTGCTGGATTTTTTGGACTGTATTTCATAACCTGTCTGTGACTTTGCTACCTTGTCTCACACCCAGGAGCTGGAGTGGAAAAAAATGAGGACATGGCCATGCACTGGTTCAGGTGAGGCACAGAAATCCCCCAAGCAATTCCTGCCATGGGCAATTCGCTCCTTCTGGGGAAAGGGTACTTGTGGTATGGGATAAGGAAAAAGCTGGCAGTGCTTTTTGGGGAAACCTACACTGAGCTGTCCTGTGCTGTTGGGAATAGGTTCATAGGTGGCAGCAGGGACAGCAGGAGCTCCTGACTTCTCACTGTGGGTTTCATTATGCTTTGATCCACTTTCCCTACCTGCTATGCTTTTTTTTTAATCAGTGGAAAGAAAGGAAATATCTTGACAGCAAGAGTGCAGAGGGATGCTGGTGCTGCTGTATGGCTTTATGGGGAGGTTTGAGCTGCAGGAAGCATGCACAGGTACAGGAGGGGAGTGAGCCAGGAGATGCTGAGGGAATGGGAAATCAATTTACAGCAGTGTATTATTTTCCTGCTCTCAGCACACCCTCCCAAGAGGCTTCTACCACATGAGTGACACAGCCATGCCTATGTGTGCATTTGCTGTGGTACCCATAGTAGTCACACCAATGGTGGGAGCCTGGGCTGAATCCCCTGGAATCCTGCCATTCTTGGTAAGAAATGGGAAAAACTAAAGACAGGGAAATTTACTGTGCTACCCAAAAAGCAAGAGGATAGGAGTAGACATATTGGATGGTGTCTTTGCCTGCTCAAGGCATAGAACAGCATCAAGCTGCTGGACTTATAGGGTTGAAAGAACTATGCCTGTGACAGCAGGAGATGTAATTCAAGGAGGAATCATAAAAGATATCCATACCTAGAGAAATGCTCAAACCTTCATGCTTTTCTGAATAAGGATGTTTCCCAAATCAGGGCCTGAAATTCCAAAGGAGTCACATTTCAAAAAGTGAATTATATGTAACTTTTCCCTTATTTGCTCTGTTCTGGTTTAGTCTCAGCTACCAACTAAGCACCATGCAGCTGCTCACTGGTTTCTCCCCTTCTCTCCCCCTCCTCTTGGATGGGGAGGAGAGCTGGGAAAAGGTAAAACTCATAGATTGAGATAAGAGCAGTGTGATAATTGAAATAAAGTAAAATATAACAATAACAGTAGTAATAAAAGAAAGGAATAAACTCCAAGAAACAGAAGTGAGCCCAGTACAATTGCTCACCGCACTCTGACCAATGCCCAGCCTGTCCCTGATGAGCAGTCAGCAGCTCCTGACCAACCTCCCCAGTTTATACGCTGACCATGAGCTGCTCCATGGGATGAAATATCCCTTTGGCAAGTTTGGGTCTGCTGTCCTGGCCCTGCTCCCTCCCAGCTTCTTGTGCACCTGCTTGCTGCCAGAGCATGGGAAACAGAAAAATCCTGGATTTAGGGTAAGCACTGCTCAGCAACAGCCAAAGTATCAGTGTGTTACCAACATTATTCTCATACTGAATCCAAAGCACAGCACTGTACCAGCTGCTAGGAAGAAAAGTGACTCTCAGCCAAAACCAACTCTCACCTTGCTTGAGAACATTTAAACTCTTGGTTTTCTTCTCCTGTACTTCTCTTACATTTTCCGTGCTTATCTCTTCCTGGCTGTAGGCAGGCTGCGGGGCAGGGCCATCCCCACTCCTCCTTCAACCTGGCAGTGGGGACACTCAGAAACATGACCATGGCACTTGAAGAAGGGTGAGATAATCCTCTTCCTTCCCATTACAGCTTCACTCCCATCTCCTCTTGGGGACAGGAGGAAACCTGGTGCTGTAGGTACTCTACGCATGAAGCCACTCCAGCATTTCTAATGCCCCCTTTTTGTATTGTCAGTAATGCAGCCCTGCCTGCAGCAGGGAAATGGGAAAACACAGTCCAATGACGTTTTAAAAATAGTGTGTCACAGTACCTATAATGCCCGTGGTCTGATTGCATATGTTTCTCCATGATGATTTCCCAGTGAAAGCAAGGGACAAGACCTATATTGGTATAGAAAGAGCTGTTGAAGTGACATGTGAATTTTTTGCTATAAAGACCTGTCTTTCTCTTATAAGGGAGAAACTCTCCCTTTTCACTCTCCTTCCATGTCAATGGAGAAGCTTCCTGCTGACTGCCTGGGAGCTGGGTTGAAACTGCCTGGCACGAGTTTTTCTCCCTGACGTGCACATGCACATTTCACATGCACATGCCAATGTTCCCAGCAAGGCCCACAGATAAAGAAAACTTGCCTTGTGCTTTGTATAGTCACTGTGGCAACTTGTCCTAGGGCTAAGTGAAGTTGAAGAAACTGATCCCATCACAGTGAAACCCAGCCCTTTTTTGATTTTGTGTATCATTCAATTTTAATTATTTTCATTTGCTTCAAGCCTGAAAATAAAAACTGAGGCTGGAGCGAGCAGTTGTACTCTAAATGAAACTAAAAACGTGTTGTTCGGACAAACCTTGTGATTTGAAGCTAGTGCATTTTGTTTCAGTCTCCACTGCATATTGCATGATCAGGCTCACATATTGGGTGGCATATCAAGAAATCCAAAACCATTTCTCCTTCAACTAAGATAAAACACCAAACCCAGAACATATGTGCTCAAACCACAGGAAAAAGCAGAAGGAAAATCAGATCATTTTCTGAATAGAGGAGAGTTAACTTTACAGATGTTTTCATATTCAGTAGCTGTGGTCCTCTTATAAAAGCCTGTGTAATTAAAATTTAGCTAGGAATGAATTTAGGATTTCCTCCTAGATTTTCTTGATGAAGGTTTCATGTCCTTCAGGGAAGTGGAGAAACTCCTCAGTGTGGCAGCAGCCCATGGGCTCTTAGAAGC